CTAAAATACCATCACATGGTCCAACAGCTTTAATCATATAATGGTGGTCTTTTACAATAGCAATTTTTTAACCTTAAAGCAATCCCTTCACCGTGCTACCAAAGACCAGAGATGGTGGCACTGACAAAATTACAAGAGAGTGAGCTGGAGGTGCCAGAGTTGAAGATTTTCATTGGGAGGATGGACAAGGTTAGGAATGAGTACATTTGGAGGGGAAGATCAGGTTGAACAGTTTGGAGCCAGTTAGGGAGGCAAGGCTCAGAGGGTTTGGACATGTGCTGAGGAGGGTTACGTTGGAGGATGTTGAAGATGGAGCTGCAGGGCAGGAGGTAAAGAAGAAGACCACAGAGAAGATTCATGGATGTGAACATGCAGAGGGTTTGTGTGACAGAAGAGGATTCTAGGGACAGTGTGAGAAGGAGGCAGGATGATCTGCTGGGGTGACCCCTGAAGGGAGCAGCCGAAAGAAGAAGAAGAAGAAGAAGAAGATATCACCCTCATGTCTGTGCTGCCAACATGCAGCAGGAGCCAGCAGCTGGTTAGCTTAGCATATCTCTCATCTCTTATCTCTCTCCTCCTCCTCAGCAAGTTATGTTAAGTGTTCTTATTGTTTGCATTCATCACACTACAATCCTCAACCGGTTTCAATGAACATTAAACGGGAGCAGTGCAAATAATTCTTTATAGTCTGTCTTGGTTTTCCCCCATTTTCTACATTCTGCTAATTTAAGCTGTTGGCCTTAGAAACACATTAATTATGCAGACATTGGAAGGATATTAATTAGATCACCCAGTTCTTTAAAATAATTTTTTAATGAAAATATTTCTCAAAGAGATTGATTTTCATCTCTCTGGCTTCAGTGCAATGATATTCATGAGAGGCTCAAACTGGAGCAGGCAACTCTCATTGAGATGGTTTTAACTTTCAAATACATATACAGATGAGTATGTATGCTGTTGAATGCATGCATTTTTCCTCTAGAGTGCTGAAGCAAACACTGTCATGCTGTGGGGATGCATTAGCTCCTCTGAAGAGGCCACTGATTATATTATTCCTCACTCGAAGAAACCTCAGGACTGACGTTCCTCATACAAATCAGGAGTAACATGAAGCATAAATGGTACATAGCATAGATCAGTTATCTCTACTGTACATCATATTTCTACTTTTTTGAGGATAAGCTGCTGCATGTCACAGATAGTAACAGTCATAATGTGGCGATGTTGGGTGTGTACAAATGTTCAATTATTTTCTGTTTATAATTTTTTTATAATGAATTTGTTTGTGCACGGTGCATATTAGGCTACGGACAAATCCTACAGCTGTGCTATCTTCATGAATCTCTGTGAATCAGTAGTTGGAATATCCTAAAGATCTCTGCTCATAAGTGTTTACTGTCTTTAAACGAGTGATTATTAGTTAGATTATTGATCAGATTGTCTGCACTCCGTGTGTACGGACTGGTCTGAAGCCACCATACTGACCTGCATGATGAATGAATTCAGGCATAAATCCTGGATGAAGTCAAGCAGGCAGTGATCTGCAGAAGATTAAGACTCTGCAGCTGTGCTGAGAGATCACTGCATTCTTTTTTCAGCCTTCTGCATGCATTGTATGGGTATAGCTAATGTTATTTATTTTTAGTTCTCCTCTCTTGTGTACATTTCGCTTCAACAAATGGCAGGATGCAGAGCGGTGATGACGTGGGCAGTAATGAGGGACTAGACAGACGGGCCAACAGTGAAGGTCAGCTGTAACAAACTTACTGATAAACAACAACACGGAAAAGCTTAAATTTGTTCTGCTGCAACACCACAAAGCCTTCTAACCTCCGTACGGCACATACAGTCACGTGAAAAGAAAAGTATATTCTGTTTCAATTCGAAGGTTGTCTATATCTGGAATAATTTAAAAATCATCTGGTCCTCAGCAGCTATTAAAATTCTTTAAATACAACCTCAGGTGCGCAATAACACCTGGCATTTTCATTATTTATTTAACAAAAACTAAGCAGAAAATTGAGAGTGTGAACAACTAAGTGCACCTTTACTGCTTCGATTGTATTTAAGAGGGTAAGTAGCAGCCAGGTGCTGTTAATCAAATGCATTTGATCACCTGTAAGTGTGAGCATAAAGCTCTATAAAGCATACGTTTTGGCGGTTTGTTGATGTGGGGCACTCAGGTGTACGTTAGCACAATACCAAGGAGGAAAAACATCAGCGATGATCTTAGAGAAGCAATTGTTGGTGCCCATCAATCTGGGAAGGGTTATAAAGCCATTTCCAAGCAATTTGAAGTCCATCATTCTGCAGTGAGAAAGATTATTCACGAGTGGAAAACATTAAAGGCAGTTGCCAATCTTCAGGAGTGGACGTCCCATTAAATTCATGTCAAGGTCAGACCACGCAAAGCTCAGAGAAACTGCAAAAAACCTACATCTCACACTCTACAGGCCTCAGTTAGCTTGTTAAATGTCAAAGTTCACGACAGTACAATCAGAAGAAGACTGAAAAAGTATGGCTTCTTCAGAAGAACTGCCAGGAGAAAGCCTCATCTCTCTGAAAACAATATAGCAGCATGGCTGAGCAAGGTTTGTATCTGAACAAACCACAAAACATTTGGAACAAAATCCTTATAGACACACTACCAAAGTGAAGAAGTTGGCCAAGTTCAGAGAAATCCAAACACTGAGTTAGCCAAGGTGGTAGAGGAATGATGATTTGGGCTTATTATCATCGAGTTGACCATGAACTCCTCTGCATAAAAAATATTCTAGAGTCAGATATGAGAGCGTCTATTTGAAAGCTAAAGCTTGGCTGAAGCTGGGTGATGCAAAAGGACGATGATCCCAATCACAGCTGAAAATCTCATCTATGTGTGTTTCAGTGGCCCAAATCCAGACTTGAACCCAACTAAAATGCTGTGGTGGGAGCTTGAGAAATGATAACTTCAAGTTGTTGCTGGTAAAGGTGATTTTATAAGCTACTCAATCACCAAAAATGATTGAATTTGGAGGAACGGTTCAATGTATAAAAATTGTGTGATGAAGAGCTGAAAAACTTCAAAGTGGACAGGTATTTGTTATTATGAGGATTTTCTGTGCTCTGGGTAATGAAGTGAGATTAATTAAGTACAAAAATATTGCTTATTTAAAACTACAGTATTAATATCAATTCAGCATTTTGTATATTTGTTTTTGCATTAATTTAATGTGCATCCTTATTTAGTCTAATAATAGTGAGTGGGATTTAGGGAAAAGCTGTTTTGGGCTTTTATCACATAAAAATGTCAACTGTTCTCCAGTTCTGAGCTAAAATGAAAAGATTGTTTGTGGCAATCCTGATTGTGAGCATGTAAAAAATATTAGACTGAAGGCACACTGGATGCTTTGCTCACACTTCAGCAGATCAGCAAAACCACTTTTATTTGTATTTTGACTTGTGTGGTGCCTTTAATGCAGCATGGTTGGTGTAAATGGTGATTATCAGACCCATTCAAGCTTGTGCCGGCAGATGAATGACAACCTACACCCCCCTCACAGTGCAGTGGTTGTGACAGCCCTGAAGGATGGTGTCTGCCTTGTTAAATGTTTTACTCTGTGTGAAGGAATTCCAGCTTACCATAAACCCTCATGACACCTAGCTAACATCATGCTAGGTGACAAAAGTGATGTCCCATTCTTAATCAGTAGGGTTTAATATTACGTCAGCCGACTCAGCCCACTCTATGCAGCTTTAACAGCTTAAAATCTTCTGAGAAGGCTTTACACAAGATTTAGGAGTGCATTCATAGGAATTTTTCTTCCAGGGGTACATTGGTGAGGTCAGACAATGATGTTGGAAGACAAGGCCTGGCTCGCAGCCTCTGCTCTAATTCATCCCAAAGGTGTTCTTTCAGGTTGAGGACTCAGTCAAGTTCTTCCACACCGATATCGCTCATCCATATCTCTATGGACCTTGCTTAGCGCACTAGTTCGAGTCATGTTGGAAAAAGAAGAGGCCCAAACTGTTCCTACAAGGTCGGGAGCATGAAATTGTCCAAAATGTCTTGGTATGCTGAAGCATTTAATTTCTTTCACTGCAACTAACTCCTGAAAAACAACCCCCCCTCCACCAAACTTGACACTTGGCACAATGCAGTCAAACAAGTACCATTCTCCTGGTAACTGCTAAACCCAGACTCGGACTCAGCCCTCGGCGATGGAAACTCATTCCATGAAGCGCTCTACACACCGTTCTTTAGCTAATATGAAGACCACGTGAAGTTCGGAGATCTTTAGCGATTGACCCTGCAGAAAGTTGCCGACCTTTGTGCACTATGTGGCTCAGCATCTGCAGACCCTGCTCTGTGGTTTTAGGTGGCCTACCACTTTGTCACTAATTTGTTGTCGTTCCCAATTGCTTCCACTTTTTTGTAAGTTGACTATGGAATATGCACAGGTGGCATCCTTGCACGGTACCACGCTTAAGTTCACCGAGCTCCTGAGAGAGACCCATTCTTTCACAAATGTTTGTAGAAGCAGCCAGCTTGATTTTTTTTCTTTTTCGTAAAAACACCCGTGGCCATGGAAGTGATTGAAACACCTGAATTCAGTAATTTGGATGTGAGAGTGAATACTTAGTGAGTACTGCCAATATAGTGCAGCGGTCCCCAACCCCCGGGCCTCGGACTGGTACCGGGCCGCGCGAGTTGAGGCTCAGGTGTGAAATGTATGGTTTTCAGGGTTTTTATCGTTAACTCTGTTTTCCTGGGTCTTTTCACGTGTTATAAATACATCTTTTTTGGTACCGGTACTAGTTTTATTTTGTTGTATTTATCCGCGACACCTTAAAGGCCGGTCCGTGGCGCTAAAAAGGTTGGGGACCGCTGGTATAGTGTATTTGCCTTTTATGTCACTGCAATCACACAGAAACCCCCCCACCTCGAGTATATCAAGAGTATATGCAGCTGCCGCTGTCGAGGATGGAGTGATGGTCAAGTCAAAGAACACTGACAGCACTTTGCAGAAATCAACACTTTATTGAAACTGTACAGCGAAACCCAATGAACACAAAGCAAGCATCACCAAAGGTGTACAGAGCCTTATAACCAAGCAGCAGTAAGATAACCTCCACCTACAGTGAGGAAACTCCAACCTTTAATTCTTTGTCAAATAGTATCACACAATTAGAGTATTTCCAGGTCAAATGAAGTACATTTCAAAGACGAACTGCACAAAGGTTAATTTCATCTCATTGTGCATACGAGTATCACTTCTGAACAGAAAATGCAGGCCATAACTCTACTGCACCTTCAACCATTCCTACTTAACTGCGTAAGGCAGAAAATGAGCCAAAGAGACTGGAGCAAAGCGAGAATGTGCTTTAACAGGATAAAATGATTTACAGGTATGAGATTCCCATTAGAGTGTGCTAATTGTTTCCACACCATTAGCGACAGTTATCTAATGAAGGATATTTAACCAGGCGCTGTAGTATATCTCACAGTTCCTCTAGGTTTTTTTCCCAGCTGCACCCCCCTCCCACTCACGGCATGCACATCACTGGACCATTCCTACAGGCCATCCCAAGCAAACATCTTTTTTTTAAAAAAAGAGGTGAGAAACAAGCATAAATTTGCAACTGGGGGTCAGTCAATGAATGCAGTACAAAAATCATTACATTTAAAACAATGTAAAACAGAGCAGATCATCTAAACAAGCCTTTCTGCAGCAAATATGATGATTCAGCTATAATAACAGACTTTACATTCGAGCCATATGTACATTGTAGGATTTAAGAATCATCTTACAGTTAAGATTGCAGATTTGGAGTGTTTCGCTCAACCCTAGCTTACAAACAACTAGCCTTAATGTAAAGCTCAGTTCTTGAGAACAGACAAGAAAAATGTGCAGAAGAGAAACAGCCTTTGTTCTTCTTCTGTCACTGAAGTGTCAGATTAACCAGCGGAATAAATGCAACGCGCTACAACGCTTCAAAGCTATGAACATCGTGATGGCTGTGTGTGTAAAAAGTGGTCACAGAGCAAGTCAGTCAGGTGCAGAAGCTGCTTCGCATTCACGTCTCACTCACTGCTTTCTTCCAGCTCCTTTCTCAAGCTGCAGAGAGAAAATAAATCTGTTAATAACCTTACCCCATAACATAGTGAGATAAAGATTTTAAGACAAATGTGCCACTCGCCTTTTCAGGTAGGCGTGCACATTGTCAAAGCCGTGGTATTTGGCCAGGTACACCAACACTCCCGTCGCGCAGCGGCCTTCTCGGGCCCGGCAGAAGCTGCAGTTACAGATCCCTCTGCATGGTGGGCACTGCCACTCCTACCCGGAACAATGAGAATGAAATGAGTCACACGTACAACGCATACATACACAGAACACAGTACATGTTTGCAAACTTACCGGATTCAGCAGAGCATCTCGGACCTCTTCCCCATAGCGGTTACGAAGACACGGCCCGCAGAACTGACCCCTGACGCCCACGCACTCCGGACTACGGCAGTTAGTTTTGGTGTCGACTGTCTTCTGGCGGCACTGGTGGCAAGTGGTTCCCTGAAAAGAAAGGAGGTTTGTGAAGCCGAGTTGGGGTGTTTTTTGTTTGTTTGTTTGTTTTAAACTGCTCAAATGTTTCACATTCTGAGTCAAAGACTTACAGTGGAGCTGTTGTAGACTTTCTCTCGCACATTGTGGCAGATGCGCTGCAGCTCCATCTCTGTGATGTCCTCCACAGGCCTCACTACATGGGGGATGGCCTTGCATCCAGTGAAGGATCGGCGACGGGGCTGCACACCAATTTGTTTTTAAAAAAGTTAATTAGCATGCTATTATGTCTTAAGCGAGTCTAGAACTTTTTTAAATGATTAACGGTGCAATCTGACTTACAGGTTCGTCAACTTCCTCATAGAAGCGACTTTTGCGAACCAGGCTGAACTTGTCCTCAAGCTCTTCCTCTGGAGGTGGGCTGGGAGGTCCGTCCACCAGGGAGCGGGACCGTGTGTGGGGCCGAGACAAACGCTCTTGGTTTCTCCTGCAGGATCCTGGGGTTCCCATGGACCGCCGAGGTGCCTGTCGGGGCTGAAGATGTGCAAATATTAATATAGTATAGAGAACCAATTGGCGAGGTAAAAATAAAACAGACGATTTGTTTATCTTCGTTACCGTAGTTAACGACATCCGCCTTCCAGGAAAGAGTCCAGGCACTTTGTTCAGTTCTGCCATGAGCTTTGCAAGCTGTAAAACAAGTCGCCATAAGTAAATAAGGCCAAACCATGGTCAGTTTACAAAGTGAATTGAATGTAACCAATTTTACCATTTCTTTGTTCTCCTTAATATTCAGGGCTCTTTTGCTCATGAAGTTCTCCTCTTCATCCTCCGAGTCAGAGTCTCGCACTTTAGGCTGAGGCAGTGGTTCGGATGCAGGCCTCTTCATGCTCGTCTTTTTGGTGGGGAAATTTAAGGCAACCTTCAGGGTGTTGGACTTGCGGCCACGTCTCGGGGGTTCAGCATCTACTTTCTAAACAAAAATATAAACATGAAATTAGAGGAAACACTTGGGCTTTCTGAAGATGCTTAGTTCCGTTTTGCTTTGCGCAGACCTTACCATAGCTTTTATCCGACTGCTGATCACATTCTCCTCAAACCCGCTGCACGTGTCCTCCTCCGAGGTAGCCTCAAACACTTTCCGCTTCTCCACCGTTCTCCTCGTCTGCCTCAAGTTGTTCCTCTACAACGGACACGAGCATTAGTTTCATACAGTTCACACATAATAACATTTAGCCTAAATATTTCATTTGCATTGTATCGTTACCATATTTGCATAGCCTCCATCGGAGCCAAAACTGTCGCAACTGTCATCAGAAGAAGAAGAGGAGGAAGTCTCAATGGGGACTAGCGGGACGCTGCGGAAGCTCCTCAAGCTCATCCTGGTGGATGGAGACTGGGCGGCCAGTTTCTACAAAAGAACAGCAAGAGCATTTAGAGAACAGGTACAGGAGCACAACTGATCAAAAATCAGGAGGGCCTATAGAGCCACGTGATTTACTGTTCTCAATGAAGACACTAACAAAACCACCGAGACTTCCTTGCAAAGCCTCAAAAGAAAAGAAATGGTGGAGCTTCATATGAAAACTGAGCAACAAGAAAGAAAAGTCTCTGAAGCCCAAGCTGAGGTCCAAAAACCAGACTGAGGTTCTTTAAAAAACAAAAAAGTAAAGGAAAAGAAATTGCTTAAAACCACTTTCACAGTTAATTCTTTCGATGGGCTTTTCATTAATGCTTGAGCTTCGGATTTATGGGACGCACCCCTGACTATAAAGCTAGCAAAGGCAGACAATTGGACCATGATTGATCTGCATTAAAAAAGGTGGATGTACGCAATAAAAACGTTCATTCCGCCGTATATGTTGCATTTCAGTTCGTTTTTTTTCAACAGCGCCAACAATAAACACGGACTATAAGGATAAGGGAAAGTTGGTGTTTACAGTCCAACTTAACTAAGATAATTTATTCAAAAAAGTATATTATCCACTCAAAAAGTTAATAAAAGCACAAATGATAAAGGAAGTAATTTTATTAAAAACGTCAGGGTGTTTTTCTTACCTTGGAGCGAGTGAGAGGCATTTTTTTCTTTTAAAACTCGTGACACACGAACAGAAACGGATCCAATCCGTGCAGCAGCTCTGCAGCGAACAAAGCAGGACCTGCAGCTGCAAGCGGTCCACACTCCGTTCATTTCCCGCGCCAACGCAAGGTCCTGAAAGCTGCATAAAACGCAGCGACACGTTTTTTAAGTAACAGAGCAAATTTATTATGAAAAGCACAAGTGCCAAACTCTTAAACAAGCCTTTATAATTGCTTGAAGTGTGCTCTATGTTTATGTGAACCGCCAGACGTAAAAACTAATGAATTAATGAATCATTTGAGGTATGTATCTTCCACGGCCTTTACCGCGGCGCGAATTTTTTTACAGAGCTATTTGCATACAAGGCGGGTAAAATGTTGATTCTTTTCCAACTTCACAAACAGACCAGATTTTTCCCCCCTTTTTTTCTGCAAGGTTATTTCATGTTCAGACCAAAGTTCAGCATCCACACTTAAGTTAGAAGCCAGGAAATCAAATACAATTTATGAATCCTGATTTATATTTATACATATAAATATTTATGGTGGAATTTATACGGGTTTTTGTTGCTAAATAGGATAGATTGGATAGATTTGTTGGCAAATGTGGGATTGAGATAGAAAAAAAGAGAGAATTTAATTGAATTAAGTTAAATTTCAAAGAGAAAGTTACCCTGCAGACTGCTGTAAAGGTGCGATAAGACAAAAGAATGGCTGTAAACAACAGGAAGCGGGCATGATTGCTTATACATCAAAGGGAATAATGGGGTGGGGTGAGGTAAATCAGTTCAAATAAAACTTTGCACTTCTGAATTATTATATGTTAAAAAACACACACACACACAATAGAATTGGTGAGGCAGGAATGTAGTTTAAATTTAAATCTTTATTTTTAGGATTGATAAATAGCATCATATTTTCAATGCGAACCACAGTTTTGAATGTCATCTGCAAAAAATCACAGACTACACTGTCGTTTTTAAAAATACGTGAACAAATAAGCTCATTTTTTAAAAATACAAATCCCAGTTACTAATTATGTCATGTGAGCAGACATAATCCATGTGTAAAACCTTTTCAGTGTGTAACATGTTCAGTTCTTGTGTGGCCTACATTAAGTTCTTCCACCACCACCGCGCCCTCCCCTGCCCCCCCTCCTCGGTCGACCTCTGACTTGTTTATTGTCCTGCCGTGGTAATCTCTTATGACGCTCCACTTTGATCCACCCTCCGTCACTGCTTTTGCCCCCCTCCTTTTCCTCACTGGCATTTTGTGTCACAGACAATAAACCCGGTATCGATGGTGTGCGGCTCTGTGGTCTGGCACTGTAGCTGTTGGACGGCGGTCTCCATGGATGTCGGGGGGTTCTGCCACCTTTATTATGAGCATGTCCACCTCTACCACTACTCTCTGTATGACCCCAACCCTGCACCCCACCCACAGTAAATGTATTGCCCGTGTTGCTATTTCTGCGATAGTTATGCACTGCCCCTGCACTGAGCGGGCGCTCTCTGTCTGAGGTGCTCTCTGACGTAGTGCTGGAGGGACTGCTGCCCTTTGACCCCAGATAGAGCGTTGAGAGTTTGGCCGACAGGCTGGCAGTTGGCGAGGAGCTGCGTGAGTCGGCCCAGTGAGAAGAGTTGACGCGGTTTGGAGAGCGGCGCACAGCTGCAGCATAAGAAGACACATGTCTTTCATGTGCAGACAGGAACTGAGGCAGAGTGCGAGCATCAGAGCTCGTGAAGGCGGTGTGAGCAGCAGTCATCGGCTGGGATTTCTGGGCTATCATCTGCTTCAGTCTTACATTGTACATCCACTTTGGATCAATATCTAAAACAGAAAACACGTACCTCATATACACCTCCTATATGAAGAATTTTTTTTTTCCGCTAAAAAAACGATATGAATAAATAATAAATATTTACCGCGGTTTGATCTGTCCTTGAGGTTCCAGTCTGTGCTAGCTGGGGCTGTTTCAATGACGAGCTCCACAGTCTTGATCTCGTCTCGTCCACCATTGACGCTCCATGTCATCGAGCAGCTGTGTCTGGTGGACTTGGGAGACTTGACATCATTCTGAAGTGAAAGTAGTGATATTTAATGTATGTTGTTAAACATGATTGTGCGTGACTGCCTGTGTGATACATTTTCAAACTGCAGCTGCTAAAATGACCCACCTCATAATTGACGGTATAGTCCACTCTCTGGTTCTCCTGTAGCCCAGTGACCCATTTGTCCATCACAAAAGGTGGCTGCATTGAATAACATTATTTTGTTTGAAAAAAACAAAAAATAGACAATTGCAACCACCACAATACGTCAGGTTAAAATGCACCGATCAAGACATTGAAAACAATTAGGTGTGTTGTAACACACCTAATTGTTTTCAATGCGTTTCTGACGGCACCTTAGTCATCCGCAGGATTTCAACGTCTTGTCTGTTGGCGTTAAAGATGACATCTTTGATGTAGGTTATAGCGACTTCATCGCCGTCGAGTTCCATGTACATTTTCCATTTGCAGTCCTTGAAATAAAATAATTGCCGGTCAGATAATGTAGGTCTCAGCGACAATAGATGTAAAAGTTTTTAATTTCACTCATCTGTGTGGAGAACTTGGTAAATCTTGTATATAAACCAACAGCACAACCTACAGGTAGTTGAATGACAGTGGCCAGAAAGCCTCACATTGTGGGTGAAGACAGATAAGTATGAAATAAAACTTTTAAAATAAACTGCTAGCAGACCAAAGGGGAGAAAAGACAGAGTATACATGTAAAATGCAGTTTGCATGTAATGTCTACAGCAATGCAAACCTAAGTTAAAAGACTGATCTTTATGGAATTAGGTTCTCTACATAAATATACCTCAAATTCGGCACATTTCATTAAATTACTCTAACAGAGAAACGGAAACAAAAATCAGCAGCAAATATTTTCATGCCGCTATTCTAAATTCCAAACATTTAGGCCTTTTCAGAATCCAGGATTAATTTTTTGGAGCAGGAAACTGTCTGATTTTAGTTGATAAAACCTTTTTTTTTCTCCTCATGGACTGCTGCAGAGAGACACACATCAAACTGGGGAGGCACAAATCGAAGCGGTCCCCAGCCCTCTTCTTCTGCATACTGAATGCTGACGACGCACGTAATGATTTCGCCAATCCCTAAAAGCTGCCAGGAAGCTACAGGTCACTGCTTAACCACACAGGGTTCATGGCACAGGCCAATCCATTGTGTAGTGATCACAGAGAAAGACATCAGAGGAGTGGCACTAACACACTCGTCTGAGGAGCCTTCGCCCTCTCCTTCATCGTCCCCGGGGGCTGGAAATGACTCAAAGGGGGGAAGCTTGAGCAAGCCTCTGGCTCAGAAACACACCAGTGGCCCAACGCTGGCCTGGTGTCGGGCCTGGACGGTCGCACCGGGGCTCCCAGGTCTATGCTAGTCTAATCACTCCAGCAGAAACAATGTCTGGTAATGATGCCTAGGACCCGAGTGCGTCTAATGACAACTCATACATAATTCAGCACCTTTCACTTGGCTGCACGGTGATATCCTCATTAGTAGGGGACCCTCAGTGGCTGTCAGATGGTGGCCGCACAATCGCAGGCCCTCATTTTGTCTTTGAGAAGTGCAGCTGCTTCCATGACATCGCCAGCAAAGAGGGGCGAAGAAAAAAATGCAGTGCGGGTTTGTTTTATTTAGTGCAAAAAACCTTCCAGTTTGTAAAAACAAGGCTGACACGGAACCTGACACCAGGCAGGGGAAAATAATTAGCTCTCATTTTCTCAGCCTCCTGTTTCCTTCTCCCTGCTGTGTTTTCTACCCACTAAACCACCACATGTCAGAAGAAATGGGAGGCAATTAGCAGGCTCGTTTCAGCCCTGCCGAACACACTGAAAGAGGACTATTTATGATGGGACAATGAACAGCTGAAAGATTAAATAACGTTTGCCTTTTAAAAGAAAATGACTTCTGGCTAAATGGGCTATTTTTGATTAAATTCAAACAGCAAGTGAAGAGCCACCCTTTCTCCACAGTTTGAGACCCTAACAAAGGGCTGTGAGCAAGTCGAGGTGGATGTGGTACATGGCTGAGCCTGAAATGTTTATTTGTCTGGTTTAATACATGTCTAGTGATGCCTTGAATGGTCAGCATAACAGCCGCCATCACGAATCCTCAGAACAAACAGCTTCAGTTGTAGTGGGCCGATTCAATCGCATGTCTCTATATCTCCTTAGAAAGTATCAATTATGCCAAAAATGCTCAAACAAGAAAACATTTCTTTGTGATATTCTTATTTTTTTGGATTTCATCGCTTGCTCACAGCTGCAAAATATGTTGGAGTCAGTGTTTGAATGTGTTTTCTGACAGACTTACAGACTTTCCTGTTGCTGGTTTCCAGTGGTACCCAAACACCAGCTCCAGATTTACAGTTTTACTCTGCTCCACCTCCTTTTCTAGTTCATCCTTGGGGAAGAAAACAAAAGCACATAAACATAAGCCCCAAAAGGTGCGTGACAATAAAAATGTAACACGTCCAACGGATGAAGATACCTTCAGCAGTGGCGGGAAGTGGACGAACCCGAGGTAATCATTAGTTAGCTTTTCGATCTCACACTGGAAAAAGAAAAAAATTCCCTTTGAATTCACCGCAGAGCCAAATATCAGAGAGCTCTGCCGATACCCCGTAAATGTTTTCGGTTAATGGTTAACCGTGTCTTGCCTTAAGGTGCATGACGTGACCTTTGGACTTGACCCCCATGTCCCGCATGTCGGTTTCTGTGAGCAGCAGCAGCCTCCGTCCGGTGATGTGGTTTTCTTTAAACAGATCGGCATAAAGCTGCATGTCACATGCGCTGTCTCCTGGCAAAGACACAACCAAACATTGAAACGAGCGCGGAAAGAATGAAGAATGCGAAACAGAAAACATTTAAGACGATCTGAACTGTTTAGAAAGTAAATGAACAAACCTGCGCCAAATATTTGCTGCATCCAGAAATACTAAAGGAAGAAAATCACGATTTAATCGTTTTAATAGCAGTCATGACTGTATCACAATTTAAATGGCTGCAAGTAAAAACACACTGATACCAACCACATGCTCCTCTGTCCAGGTATATATGTCC